TCAACTTTCTGCGTTGTGGCATATCACACTTGACAGAGCAACGCCGTTGCTTGTTTACGCGATAACTCAAACAATTGTTCTTCAATTTTTGTCAAATTCATTACCTGATTGCATTTGATGAGTTCTAAATCGTGTTATTTAAAAGGTATTTGTAGAGTTTTGTCCCTATTTCAGTGTGGGGCTATGCTCCTTTGATTGCCAAATAAGGGCATTGTGTGGTAAATGCAAGAACTTTTTTTTATTTTTTTTAATCAATTCCTTCCAAATTTAGTATAGTACATGTAATAAAAAAAAAATACTACTTGGCACGGTCCAATTTTGGGTTAAAAATCATGTATTTTGGCGTTTTTTGATGTGGTAACCATGGTTTTCACGCGTGCCAAATCTGGGGAAATCTCTTTCTGAAAAAAAAATCATTCTTCTAAAAAAAATGTTTTCAAAATGTAGTTTATAAATATATATATATATGAAGGTGTCTTGTGCAGGACAAATCCGCTATCCATGTTTATCTGAGACATGCCCTTTAATTTCAGGATCAAGCCATTTCTACTGTACTCTACCCCAGCGCTTTATTGTCTGTAGTCTTACATTACCCCTGTAATTTCTCAAATCTTCACCACCAGATTTTATTTTATTTGCGTCATCGTCCAGTCGAAATTTGGAAATACATGTATGTCGAACGCACACTTTAATGAAGCTGGGGTTTGAACCGAGGTCACCTTTTCCGGCTTATGTATATTATTTACTATATAGCAGTCCGTTAGATCTGCGTCTGTGTATGTCACTTCTAGGCCGCTGCTACCATTGATTACCTATAACAATTTGAGACCTGATGTTTCAGAAGGATTATGCCCTGCTGCCTCTCACATGACGAAAACGACGTAGCTTAGAAATCTAAAAAGCTGAAGTTGACATTGTAGAGAATTGTATACAAGTTACAGCATACAATTATATACATCTACCTTAGGACCGAGTTCTTACTATTAATTATTTTCTTATACTAAGTTAGCTAGTGCGGTCACTAGGTTAGCTAGTGCGGTCACTAGGCTAGCTAGTGCGGTCACTAGGTTAGTTAATGCCGTCACTAGGTTAGTTAATGCGGTCACTCGGTTAGCTAGTCCGGTCACTAAGTTATTAGCTCGGTCACTAGGTTAGCTAGTGCGGTCACTCGGTTAGTTAATGCGGTCACTAGGTTAGCTTGTGCGGTCACTAGGTAAGCTAGTGCGGTCACTTGATTAGCTAGTGCGGTCACTAGGTTAGCTAGTGCGGTCCCTAGGTTAGCTAGTGCGGTCACTAGGTTAGTTAGTGCGGTCACTAGGTTAGTTAATGCCGTCACTAGGTTAGTTAATGCGGTCACTAGGTTAGCTATTGCGGTCACTAGGTTAGCTAGTGCGGTAACTAGGTTAGCTTGTGTGGTCACTAGGTTAGCTAGTGCGGTCACTAGATTAGCTAGTGCGGTCACTAGGTTAGCTAGTGCAGTCACTAGGTTAGCTAGTGTGGTCAGTAGGTTAGTAAATGCGGTCACTAGGTTAGCTCGTGCAGTCACTAGGTTAGCTAGTGTGGTCAGTAGGTTAGTAAATGCGGTCACTAGGTTAGCTAGTGCGATCACTAGGTTAGGTAATGCGGTCACTAGGTAAGTTAATGCGGTCATTAGGTTAGCAAGTGTGGTCACTAGGTTAGCTTTTGTTGTCACTAGGTTATTAGTGCTGTGACTAGATTAGCTTGTGCGGTCACTAGGTTAGCTAAGGCGGTCACTACGGTAGTTAATGCGGTCACTAGGTTAGCTAGTGTGGTCACTATGTTAGTTAATGCGGTCACTAGTTTAGCTAGTGCGGTCACTAGGTTAGAAAGTGCCGTCACTTGGTTAGCTAGTGCGGTCACTAGGTTAGCTTGTGCGGTCACTAGGTTAGCTTGTGCGGTCACTAGGTTAGCTTGTGCGGTCACTAGGTTAGCTAAGGCGGTCACTAGGTTAGCTAGTGCGGTCCCTAGGTTAGCTAGTGCGGTCACTAGGTTAGCTTGTGTGGTCACTAGGTTAGCTTGTGTGGTCACTAGGTTAGCTAGTGCGTTCACTAGGTTAGATAATGCGGTCACTAGGTTAGTTAATGCGTTCACTGGGTTAGCTAGTGCGGTCATTAGGTTAGCTAGTGCGGTCACTAGGTTAGTTAATGCGGTCTCTAGGTTAGTTAATGCGGTCACTAGGTTAGCTATTGCGGTCACTAGGTTAGCTAGTGCGGTAACTAGGTTAGCTTGTGTGGTCACTAGGTTAGCTTGTGTGGTCACTAGGTTAGCTAGTGCGTTCACTAGGTTAGTTAATGCGGTCACTAGGTTAGGTAATGCGGTCACTAGGTAAGTTAATGCGGTCATTAGGTTTGCACGTGTGGTCACTAGGTTAGCTTTTGTTGTCACTAGGTTATTAGTGCTGTGACTAGATTAGCTTGTGCGGTCACTAGGTTAGCTAAGGCGGTCACTAGGTTAGCTAGTGCGGTCAGTAGGTTAGTAAATGCGGTCACTAGGTTAGCTAGTGCAGTCACTAGGTTAGCTAGTGTGGTCAGTAGGTTAGTAAATGCGGTCACTAGGTTAGCTAGTGCGGTCACTCGGTTAGTTAATGCGGTCATGTTGAACAGTCCCGCATATAATTCACGAGCACACGTGACCTAGCTTCTGTGTGTCATCGTTGTGACATTATTGACAACTATCGGGTCTTATCAGCTACCAGGGAACATCAAAATCACGTGTGTTTCAATAATCTGTTACCACAATACTGGAAAACAGTAATTCCGGTACACAAAAAAGTTGCGTAATATATCGGATTAGTGCACGCAGGCGGAAAGCAACACATTGTATTTCGTACAACACATATGTTATTTATTCCGAAACAGAATTAATTCGAATTGATCATTCGTAATTCGGTAATCCAGGAAATTCGTTAGAACAGCCACTGATTTGGAAATCGATATACCCGGGAAAACTATTTATAACACACAATTATCGTTACTTACAAACCGTTTGTTAAAATTAACCCTATTTGTTTGGTTGTTTGGGACGTCTTTGCAACAAATTACAATTTTGTATGTCGAGATGCCTAAAGAGACACCGCTCAAAAGATGTAATTTTTGACAAACAACGAGGATATCGATCCTGTTTGTATAAATCCTAACATCTTTAAAACTGTATCTTAATTAGCAAGGCTACAATGACGTAACAATCAATACCTGCTTACAAGAGAAGATAACTCTGCAATACGCAAAGACGGAATACAGGATTAGGATAGATGCAAGCTTGCAACATTAATCTTGTTGGTTGCTATGTTCTAACATCATTACTTTCCCTCAATGAAAATGAAAGCAATAATCACCTTTTATATATTTGACCAATCACAGCGCATGAGTGCGTTTTGATCGTCTCTCTGCCAGAATGTTTGAAAACCACTCATTTAGGGTTAAGGCCAATTGAAGTAATACGTAAAATTACTCATTTTTCAGGTTAGTTGAAGAGAATGTTAATTGAGGTGAATAGTATCTAGAATTAAAGTTATTGAAGGTTACAGAGAGTTGAAATAAAGTTACGTTTAGTTGAGGTTAAGGTTAACTGACGTTAAGTTCAGGTTAAGGTAAGTAAAGATAAAAACAGTTTGTACTGAGATTAGATTGTTACAGTTAGTTAATATATATGTCATTATGATCATACGTATGTTTACCTTTTAAATACTTTGGTGTCCTTAAATACAATACCATGTAAACCTTTTGAATTTTGGACTAACAGACATTCGGTCTATAATGCCTCCGAACCGACAGGTTTTGGAACGGTCGGACCTTAGGATACCAGCTGTGTGTGTAAAACTGCTTCACGTGGTAGCGTTTAAGACAGTGAATATGAGAGTAATGATTAAGGAGCGTGTTTGATGTATGTGGCGACCGATCAATAATCGAAACTCTGGAATTGTGATTAAGAAGGGGTTATCAATCATAGTTATAGGGTATGGTTAGTGATAAGTTTTCTGCCCCTAATGGCACACCGAGGATAGGGAATCCTGAGCGAACTCATTGGCATCTTTGTAACAGTTGAGTTGGGGGTTTAGCCCTGTTTGAGATCTGAACGTATATATAAATGCTGTGGTAGACGGCCGTTAATATGAAGCCAGTACTGGTTGTCATTGTATATCTTATTGGCCTTGGCAGACATCAGACCGGAGCGTAATCCCAATGTAATTGGGCATTTGTTTAGACATATGTCAAAATGGCACTACAGTACCAGCGGTAGCGTGTTTGTGACACATTTAGTGAAAGATACCCGAGAGCCGGCCAGAAGTCGTATACTACAAACAGTCAGTGGATTCAGACAAAAAACAATGGTTTCTTTAACCGAGCGAAGAAAAATATGCTGATAATTTATAAAACAGTTTCAATTAAGACTATATTGTTGATTACATTACAACGTAAAACAATTAACACATCAATAACTAAATTTTCTACAATGTGTCTCCCCTGTATACCTATCACACTATCAATGGTACAATGTGTCTCCCCTGTATACCTATCACAATATCAATGGTACGATGTGTCTCCCCTGTATACCTATCACCATATCAATGGTACAATGTGTCCCCTGTATACCTATCACAATATCAATGGTACGATGTGTCCCCCCTGTATACCTATCACAATATCAATGGTACAATGTGTCTCCCCTGTATACCTATCACAATATCAATGGTACGATGTGTCTCCCCTGTATACCTATCACAATATCAATGGTACAATGTGTCTCCCCTGTATACCTATCACAATATCAATGGTACAATGTGTCTCCCTGTATACCTATCACAATATCAATGGTACAATGTGTTTCCCTGTATACCTATCACACTATCAATGGTACAATGTGTTCCCCCTGTAAACCTTCACCTAGTGTGTCTGTCCTGTACATCTGCTCTCTCCTCTACATCTATCCAATCTATTTACCACAGTCAGTCCCCCCTACCAATTATTTTGTAAACATACCACATCCTGCTTCATCTTCGTCCCCACCACAATCTAAGTACTGGTCACATAGCCATTCTTCTGGTACACACCATTCCGTACAGTTGAATTGATCAGCTTTACAATCTGCAATTACAAAACAAAGTTTTAAAATAGCAATTTGTGGGTGAAAATAGAATATAAAAAATCCAAAAAGAATACCGAATTGTCATCAAAACACTGATTTGAACTCAAAACCGATACAACTAACAAGGGAAAAAACAAGGTTTGTCATAATTTTGGACAAATTCCATATTCTTACTGGTAAAGTCTCTGCATGATAATCTCTAGCGAATGTGATAAATGAGTAAGTGTGTTAGAAACGCTGCTGGTCACAACTATTTGACTCAATCATTCAGAGGTCAAATGTCAAGGTTGTACAAATGTTGCTGCATGTATAAGGACAAAGCAGCCAGCTGGGTTTCTTTGGTGCATGTGCACTTGGAGTGAACTAAATTTTCAATTCAATTTCAATTCAATTTTTATTACCAAATGCACCTTGCATATAGGAATACAGAAATATACATATTGATCAATACTTTACAAATATCTTGTACAATGGCGGAGAACATATGCAATAGTTTCAATTCCATACATAATAATTACAAATTCATAAAATAGTCATAAGTTGGGGAAAACTTGAAGCTTTTCCTAAGGTAACTTAGCGGACTCTTATGGAGAATAGTTTAGTTGTTTATAAAAGTATACAAATAAGCCTTTAGCTACATGTAGCCAAATTTCTTAGAATTAACATAACTTCAAAGTCAATTATACAACTCCAACATGGAGGTAGAACTATTACTACTCATTACATAATGAAATGAGATTCTACACTCTCTGTTACGTAAAACACATAGATCTCAATGTCATTATACAGTAACAAGACAAGAGAGATTAAGGTTATGTGCTTGCAATCTATATTTCGCAAGAATACATTTATATTTTCTAAATAGCGGTTTTGTAAATTACCATTGTAGATCAAAACGGTCATCAATGTGTTGATATAACAAACAGTTTGAAGACGTCTCGAATATGTCTCTCATTTTCTGAATTAAACTATTCTTTATACGTTGTATTTATAATAATAATAAAAAATATTTCTCATTTGGTACACATTGTGCCAACCACACATATCAAAATCCCAACGCACAAATATCATGTCTCAGGTGAAACCCCCAATTTCCTTTAAGATTTGGTTTCCTGTTATAATGCTCTAAAAGTTCATCGTAACAGGCCCTCAAAATACAATTACCAGTCTTTAATATTTGCAGCCAGTACTTTACAATAGCAATCCTACGTTGTATATGCAAAGTGTAACGACCAAGTAAAAAATACACCATGGCATTATTTACTGTTTTCCTGACACCCAATAAGGTTTAAAAAAAATAATAAATGTATATTTTCAATCTGCCGTGCAGGACTATAACCCTATACTTCACATCTGTAATTAACAATACATGATATATAAGTATCAAATAAAGATAATTTGGTCTTTTCATTCAACATAAATCTTTCCGCTTTCCGATTAAGAAGAAAATAAGCTTTCCTTCCTTGTACAACAATCTTATTCTGTGCAATGGTAAATTGTCCATTATAATTACAAACCAAACCTACATAACAAAATTGATCTACCACTTCTATAGCTTTACCATCAAACATCCACTGCTCGTTTGGAAACAATCGTTTACTTTTCCTTCAAACAACATCAGCGTGTGGCTGATACATACATGGTATGACTGATACATACAGGGTGTGACTGATACATACAGGGTGTGACTGATACATACAGGGTATGACTGATACATACAGGGTGTGACTGATACATACAGGGTGTGACTGATACATACAGGGTNTTGTGTAACTGATACATACGGGATGTAACTGATACATACAGGGTGTGACTGATACATACAGCGTGACTGATACATACAGAATGTGACTGATACATACAGTGTGACTGATACATACAGTGTGACTGATACATACAGAATGTGCATGATACATACAGAGTGTAACTGATACATACAGGGTGTGACTGATACATACAGTGTGACTGACACATACAGCATGTGACTGATACATACAGCGTGTGACTGATACATACAGCGTGTGACTGATACATACAGAATGTGACTGATACATATAGCGTGTGACTGATACATACAGTGTGACGGATACATAAAGTGTGATTGAAACATACAGGGTGTGACTTATACATACAGTGTGACTGAAACATACAGGGTGTGACTTATACATACAGTGTGACTGATACATACACCGTGACTGATACATACAGAATGTGACTGATACATACAGGGTGTGACTGATACATACAGTGTGACTGATACATACAGTGTGACTGAAACATACAGTTTGTAACTGATACATACAGTGTGACTAATACATACAGTGTGAATGAAACATACAGCGTGTGACTGATACACACAGAGTGTGACTGATACATACAGGGTGTGACTTATACATACAGGGTGTGACTGGTACATAAAGTGTGACTGATACATACAGAATGTGAATGATACATACAGAGTGTAACTGATACATACAGTGTGACTGATACACACAGTGTGACTGATACACAGAGGGTGTGACTGATGCATACAGCGTGTGACTGATACATACAGCGTGTGACTGATACATACAGTGTGACTGATACACACAGTGTGTAACTGATACATACAGTGTGACTGATACACACAGAGTGTGCCTGATACACAGAGGGTGTGACTGATACATATAGCGTGTGACTGATACATACAGTGTGACTGATTCATACAGGGTGTGACTGATACATACCGTGTGACTGATACATACAGGGTGTAACTGATACATACAGGGTGTGACTGATACATACAGTGTGACTGATACATACAGAGTGTGACTGATACATACAGGGTGTAACTGATACATACAGGGTGTGACTGATACATACAGTGTGACTGATACATACAGGGTGTGACTGATACATACAGTGTTACTGATACATACAGGGTGTGACTGATACATACAGTGTGACTGATACATACAGTGTAACTGATACACAGAGGGTGTGACTGATACATACAGCGTGTGACTGATACATACAGGGTGTGACTGATACATACAGTGTGTTACTGATACATACAGTGTGACCGATACACAGAGGGTATGACTGATACATACAGCGTGTGACTGATACATATAGTGTGACTGATACATACAGCGTGTTACTGATACATACAGTGTGACTGATACACAGAGGGTGTGACTGATACATACAGCGTGTGACTGATACATACAGTGTGTAACTGATGCATGCAGGGTGTGACTGATACATACAGTGTTACTGATACATACAGGGTGTGACTGATACATACAGTTGATACATACGGTGTGACAGATACACACAGGGTGTAACCGATACATACAGAATGTGAATGATACATACAGAATGTGAATGATACATACAGCGTGTGACTGATACATACAGTGTGTTACTGATACATACAGTGTGACTGATACACAGAGGGTATGACTGATACATACAGCGTGTGACTGATACATATAGTGTGACTGATACATACAGCGTGTTACTGATACATACGGTGTGACAGATACACACAGGGTGTAACCGATACATACAGAATGTGACTGATACATACAGAATGTGAATGATCCATACAACGTGTGACTTATACATACATGGTGTGACTGATACATACAGGGTGTAACCGATACATACAGAATGTGACTGATACATACAGAATGTGAATGATACATACAGCGTGTGACTTATACATACATGGTATGACTGATATATGCAGGGTGTGACTGATACATACAGTGTGACTGACACACAGAGGGTGTGACTGATACATACAGTGTGTGACTAATACATACAGCATGTGACTGATACATGCAGGGTATGACTGATACATACAGGGTATGACTGATACATACAGGGTGTGACTGATACATACAGTGTGACTGACACATACAGCGTGACTGATACATACNGACTAATACATACAGCATGTGACTGATACATGCAGGGTATAACTGATACATACAGGGTATGACTGATACATACAGGGTGTGACTGATTCATACAGTGTGACTGACACATACAGCGTGACTGATACATACAGTGTGACTGATACATACAGCATGTGAATGATATAAAATTGGCATATATTATACATACATGGTTTGACAGATATATGCAGGGTGTGACTGATACATACAGTGTGACTGATACACACAGTGTGACTGATACACAGAGGGTGTGACTGATACATACAACGTGACTGATACA